CTGCAGACCTGTGTGTGTGAGACAGGTCCAGCACGTTCTAACAGACACTCCAGAAGAGCTTTTCTCATCTCCTTTTACTTCTGATGAGTAAAGCTTTGTCTGTCAAACAGCAATTTATGCAGCAGTCCCTTTAGTGGGTATTATGGAAATGCTTGGTTGGACCCGTGTCCAGTCTGCTGTGGGCAAATAGAACTGGGGCCGCACAGGATGTGCAGGGCTCATCTATGGACGTGGCAGGAGATGCCTGACCCAGCTCAGAGGTCAGCTCTTGTGTGTGTGTGCTGGTGTATGCACCCACGCCAGGATTTTGCTCCAGCAGTTCCTGACTCCTGGCAGTGCTGCGAGGCGGTCTGGCTGCCTGGCGATGCTCCGGGTATTTGCTAAAGCAAGCAGCTTGCTCTGCAGGACAAAACACCTCTTTTATCTTTTTTTATCTTCCTATTTCACGGTCTTTTCCTGCTGCTTTGTGTCTGGCTGGCTCTCCTCGTGCCTGCCTGCTCCCGGCCAGCCCCAGCCGTCCTTTCCTCTGCTGGCTGCTGCTCTGCACCCAGGGCTGAGGGCAGATGGGGAGTCAGGTCCCTCTGCTTGCAGTGCCCTCTGATGGGGGTGAGGACCACGGATAACAACTGGTGCTGGCAGGTATGGGAAGTCATTAGACCTGTTGCAGAGGGTCAGAGCAATGGCATCTGGATGATTACAAAGGGAAAGCAAGAGCTAAGGATGCTGCAGTGTGGCCATTCTCCATGACCTCTCACTGCTTCTCCAAGTCATTGTGCTGGGGACTTGCTTGGCTGTGTTGGGAGCTAGGATTTTGATAGCTCTCACCTATTAGTTAAACACCTTCACACACCTGAGTTGTCAATGCCAGTTAAACTCTCTAAGGAAACAACGTGTGTGCTGCTATTGGTTCATCATGGACTGAAGAGGCTGCTGGTGGCATCTTGGCTGTTCTGTCTGCAGGGAGTACTCCCCAGCATGGTGATATTGAAAGGAAACAGCCCAATTCTTCAGCAGCAGCATTTTGGGGCTGGTCCTGCAGCCCAACCCACTACCACTTCCAACAGATGCCTGTGCCATCAAGCATCTGGGAACATGGAATGCCATGTTTTTGAGTGCGGTGGAAAGAAAATCCTACCCTGTCCTTAAGTCATCTTCAAGCTCTTTAATTATTGAGAGATGCCAGATACACCCCTGTGCTGGCACAGCTGCTTCCCAGCCTGCTGCATTTATTGGTTCTCAGCATCATTAATAAACCAGCGGTTCTTCCTGGGCATCAATTGCTCTCCTGTGTTCAGGACTCAGGAGATGAGAGCCAACACAATATCCCCCTGTCCCTCTCTTGCCATTCAGCTCGGTGTTGCTCCCAATGCATCTCCTGGTCTGCAGGAGTCTGTTATGTTTTGACCCTTCTGCTGCTCCTGCAGTGGGAAGAGCATCTTCATCAAACACCTTCTGCCTCCCTCCTGCTGTCAGCATCCTGCACCTTGTATGTGCTCTCTCTGCAGAGCCTTCCCAGGCAGTCTCAACCCATGCTGAACCATCCTGTGCTATACCAGCAGAGCCTGAGTGAGAAGGGGTTTGGCCTCATCCACCTGTGGCCATGGCAACTTTTAGTGGTGTGGGTTGCTTTGATGTTTACCCATCAGTTCGCAAAGATCAGGACAGCATCCTTGTCCTTTCCTGGGGTGTTTTAACAGTGCTCTTGCAGTGCTGGTTGCCCAGGTTATAAAAAACAGAGTATGGAAGAAGTGGAGACATACATGTTATTTAACTGAAGGTAACAATAAAGTACTTAATATAGTGCCATCTTGTGACACTGCAGAGATCTCCTCCAGTGTAGTAGCTTAACATAGGCCTGGTCCTTGCAGTGGTCAGAGGTTTTCCAGGTGGATGGGATGCTATTCACTTGAATAGGATGACTCGGCTCCCTCTAACAGGGCAGAACTTGGTTAGGTGAATGCAGTTGTGCAGTAACTTCCTTATTAAAACCTTTGATAGAGGAAAATATAATCCTGCTTTCCCAAAGGGCATTAACGTATCTGGTGAGGTGCAACCACAACATCTCCTGAAGTCCTAATTGCTTCAAGATGTTCCATTTTAACAGACACAAAGCAGAAGCTTCACCTGATTTCATTTCACTTCCCAGAGTACAGCTGAAACCTCTGTCCATCTGGCAACACGTGGTTGTGAGTGTGGAGATGGAAAGTGTGCTGGCAGCCAGGCTTCCCAGCAGTGACACCACACTTTGTGGTACTTAAGGGGGATTTATTAGTGTTTTAACTGACACCATTTGAAGTCACCCTTTTCTTGCAGGTATTCCTGAAGAGCGACCGCGTTGCCAGGATGGTGCAGAGTGGAGGGTGCTCAGCGAATGACTCCCGGGAGGTCTTCAAGAAGCACATTGAGAAGAGGGTGCGGAGCCTGCCAGAAATTGATGGCCTCAGCAAGGAGACGGTGCTGAGCTCCTGGATGGCAAAGTTTGATGCCATTTACCGTGGGGAGGAGGATCCCCGCAAGCAGCAGGCCAGGATGACGGCGAGCGCTGCCTCGGAGCTCATCCTCAGCAAGGAGCAGCTCTACGAGATGTTCCAGAACATTTTGGGGATCAAGAAATTTGAGCATCAGCTTCTGTACAATGCGTGTCAGGTAAGGGCCTTCTGCCAGGCTGGGTGGGAATGCCAGTGTTCCTTGGGGAAGGGCTTGCCAATGGGAAATGCTGCTGTTATGAACTGGGAACTAAGTCGGGCAAGACTGATTTGGAGAGATTTTTCACTAAGGCAGAAGTTTTGGTTCATGGTGGGACTTTTGCACTGCCAATTTTGTTCTCTCTGGCTTATGCTGCTTTTCTCCTGAAATCCCATAGGATTGCTGAGATGGGAAAATTTTACTCCTCCAGCTCTGTGTCTGGATGAGCAGGTCTTTGGTTGTGCCTAAGTGGGCTGTTTTGCTGTGACTTGCTTGCCTTTCCACTGTCACATCACCAGCCTAAATGACAGAAGTACCTTCTTACAGCCTGCAATAACCTTATTAGTACTTGAAGCTTTGATGCCCCTGGCGTGGATGTCTTACGCAGACTCGCTTCTTGAAGTTGTATAGGCTCTCCTTAAGTAGAGGGAACCTCCGTGACCACTGCATGCCGTGGTGGAAGGAGAGAGTGTCCCAAGCCCCCATGACCTCGGAGTGACTCTGCTTGCACTCTTAGTTCATGGAATCATAGAATGGTTTGGGTTGGAAAGGACCTTAAGATCATCCAGATCCATCCCCCTGCCATGAGTAGGGGCACCACACACTAAACCGTGTCACTGAAGACTCTGTCCAGCCTGGCCTTGAACACTGCCAGGGATGGAGCATTTACAACTTCCTTGGGCAACCTGTTCCAGAGTTCCCAGACAGATGAAAACCTTTCCCATTCTTCTTGTTTTCCTCTCAGTACCAGCCAGTTCCCCAGAGGCACAGAGCTGGGACTCTGCAGTGCTGCTCACATTTCCAGCAGCTCCTGCTGAGGGCTCTTGGTGGCTGTCCAGGCTGTTGGTGACCCAGATTACAGTCCCCTGCTATCAGATATAAATATCACAGGTGGGATAAAGGATGTCAGAGCCACGGGGAGGGTAAGGTGATGCTGTGGAAAGTTTACAGACCTCAATGTCTTCCCTATAATTCAGGGGTTCAACTTCTTGTCAAAGTGAATACATTTGAGACTAATTTTGTCCATCTCGTGTCTAGACATTTTGAATTCTTTTTAGGACATAGAAAATTGTTTGATCTGTGTTTTTTTTTTTCTCCTGTGAAGAGCTCATCTCGCATTTTTTCTTCATCTTGGGCCTTAATGGCAGAGGGAGGAGAGGATAATAAATGTTCCTGAGTAAGGCATCTTCATAGGAAAAAGGAAACAGCAAGGACTGCATTGGTCCTCATAAATTATGTTCTCAAACCAGGTTTTGTCCCTCCATCCTGTCTGGGAGGACTTCTTTAAAACCAAACCCATCATGTTTTCAGTGATGTGTTGAGAGCTGAGTCAGTTCTCTGCAGTGTTTTGTTTTTTTAACTTGAACCAGCTCAAGCCCCGTGTCTCTCATCCTCCCTTGATCTGTGCTTGCTGAGGAACTAGGGTGGTTTTGTATGAGCGTGTGAGCGATCCTACCCTCTTGCTTTGTGGTTCCCAGTGATGCATAAAACAGTATTTAATCATGACTGCCTTGCTTTGTGGATGAGCTCTGCTTATGTCTGGCTGACACTATGCCCTGTTGCATCAAGCAGCCTGTTTCCTGCACTAGGTCCTGGTTTTACTCTGAAAGTGAAGGATTTAATTCTGGGGTTTTCCTAATACTTGGAGGCAGCAAACCTGTAATTTAAGCTTTTAGAGAAAGATGTAATTTCTGTTGAAAGCAAATATTAGCACGGGAGTTACTCTGGTTTTAATACCTGAATAGTGAGGATTAACTATGCAGAAGGGAAAGTCCTTTATATGGCTCAGAAAGCTGCAAGGCCAGCAGTGTTTCAGCCGCTTGATGTTTTCCTGGGATACAGCACGAGTGGTTACAGTGCTGTGGTGCTGCTGTGGTGGGATGGGAGCCACTTGCTGCTGTTCCTTCCCCTGTTAGATACTGCAGTGAGCACACAGGGAAAGTGCAGGCTTTGCTGTAGGGGATCCTTATTTCAGTGCTACCTGTGGTCATGTCTTCTGGGCTATACCAGAGGGATCTCTGGAGCTCTCAGGGCGTCAGCAGCCTTTAAGAGAGCAGCAGTAGCTGCTCTGCACTTCTATCGTGCCGGGAAGCACCAGAATTGCTGTTGACCACTACTCCTTCCTGCAGGGTCTCAGCCATCGCTTGCAGCCGGTCTGTTGTAAAGTGTAAGTAAAACCTATCAACCTACAAATGTTTTTATTTGCTTAGCCTGTATGGGTTGTTCCTGGCAATAGTTAAAGGAACACAGCACTTGGCTAGCATGTTTTCTGCAGTAGAGCTGCAGGGGAGAGCAGGAAATGAGTGAGCAGTGATTTGGTAACCTGCCCCTTTTCCCCCCCATGAGAGTTTCTTCCTGATCTGTCATGATGAAGCATTGGCATCAGCCCTGAAACGGGAGATTTTTCCCTTTTCCTCCTAAACTTTAGTAGCAAATTATTTTCTACTCCAAAAGCTTTTGCTCTTCACCCAGGGCAGATTTCAAAGCCACAGCAGCAGCTGGGTGCCCGATTGCTGCAGGCTGGAAGATGCAAGTCAACCCCTGGGCACTGCCCTTTGTGGCTTGGAAACTCTCCTGTGCTGTAACCCCTTGGACTGTGCTGAGCTGCTCTGCACTGGCAGCATCTCCTGTGTGGGAAGTCTGACATCAATTAGGGAGCCAAAGGCACCTGCTGATGTTACAGCACTAAACCAGGGATATCTGGAGAGAGGGGAGTTGTAGAGCATTGCAGCAGCACGGATGGGCACTGGATGGGAAGGGACTGAGGCAGCTGAGGGATAGGAACAGCTCCCTGCTTTGCAGATACCTGTGCTATGGGCTGGGATCCTTCCAGCTGCTGCCTCTCTCCACCCCACCACCACTGCTTTGCATTTTGGTTAATCTTCATTTGCCACATCTGCCTGTCTCTGTTTGACAAGCCAGCTCCTGTAAACACCTCTGCCCTGCAGCCTGTCCTGAAACCAGCAGCGAGCTCCCTTCCCGGGTGGGTTTGCAGACACCACTCAGCCTGGAGCCATACTCGTAGCACAGAGCTCACCCGCTGGGCTTTGGGACACGAGTTCCATAACCCCTATGAATGGTAATTTATTCCCATCATGCTGTTTTGTTTCAGTCTGGCTTGTATTTTGGTTACAGTCAGCCTCAGCAGTGCTTGTTTGCCTCCCCATGGAGACACACTGACTGTTGCTCTGACTGTTGTCCTATCAGAGTTAATTGGAAGTGCATCTTAAATCTTTAACAAATCGATTGAAGTTTCTCACCGGTTTGATAAGAACAAACTATTTTGTATTTTCTGTTTGTGGATGAGCTTTAAGTAAAAGGAAAACACTGTCTGGTGTTTTCCTGGATATAGTGAAATCACAATATTCCCAGAAACACCGTGCAGGCTCAAGCAGTGCTCATGTGGGTGATTAATACATTTGCTTTCCTCCCTCGGGCAGTGGACAGGCAGCTCCTGCCAGAGCCCACCATGGACCACAGCTCTCAGCCTGCCATGGTGCCAGCCGCAGGCTATATACTGAGACTGAGCAAAGGTCCCAAAGAAATGTGGGGGCAATCACAGGCTTCCCAGCGGTGGTTTGGCATGGTACAAGCTATACTTGCTTTTGACCTGTGCTTGTCTGCCATTCATGGGTGGAATTGGGAAACAGAGCCTTTTCCCTGGCAGAGCATCTGAATGCCATCGCTCTTTGTGGTGCTGTTGATGCAGTTTATGAGTCAGTCACCTGTGCTTAGAAAAGCAAAGCTTCTCCTATTGCTTCCATCAGCTGGGGCTGGCTGGGCTTTGGTGTGCAGAGTGAAACTGCCCCAGAGGCTGTGCAAAGAGGCAAGGGGTAAGAAGGCTTTGCCTAGATGTTGTCATCCTAAAGCACAAGCAGGAACAGTGCTGAGAGGCCCAAACATTGTCTTGAACTTCCGCTGCTGCCTGGAAGAAGGTGCTTTTCTCTCTGTAGCCTCCTGTTATATCATAATCACTAATTGCATAACAATTACATCACTGGCACAGCATTTCCATTCACTTCTGAACTAACGTTTTGTTTGTGCAGGAAGATGATTGCTAAAGGGATTATTTTATTTTATACCATATCCCCAGGTGGTATGAGATAAGTGTATTCTTAATGTGATAGTGGTGATATGGCAGGATCTGAGATAGCAACAGAGCAAAAGGGATTGATGCAGTTGGAAAGGCTTTTAGGAAACAGAGATGGGAAGTGGTGGTGTGGCAGAATGGTTGTGGAGATAACGGTGGTGTTAAGCACAGCCTCGACTAGAACATTTTAAATAATACAGAGGCTTAAGTTTTTTGCATAACACACACTATGTGACTTGATGTTTTCTGCTCCACTGGAGTCAGCGTGGGAATTGAGTATCTGGCTCCAGCAGTGAGCATCTCCACTGTTTGAGAGGCATTGAGGAGGAAGAAGTGTGTTTCAGTCTTGGGTGTCTGGTCCAGAACCCATTGGCAAGGCTTGATTTAGCTCTTCTGCTTTGCAATTAACCTGTGGCTGTGGCAGATTCCTACAGAAGCTATTTTCTATAAGTGTTGGGCAGTTCCAAACTCGGGTCTTTGCTGCAATCAGCATTTCCTCAGGCACAAGCCCTGTATTTCCCACTGACCTTCATAACAGCTGAATTGCAGCAGCAGCTCTGAAAATCAGGCTGTGGTGTTCTCCTGCCTTGTTCTTCCCCAGCTGTAGGGCAGTGATTTACTTTCCTATCTCAAGCTGTGTCTGAAAGTCATTTTTAGTGACAGTGAGATGAGAAGGAGCTAGTACAGCGCTGTTCAGTTAATCCAGCAGCAGTAGCTGATGTCCAGGCCACATCTATGGTGAGCTGAACACTTCCATCCTGCTGCTTTGGAGGAAGACTCTGAGCTGTCCCTGCAGGACTGTGAATTCACAGCCTTCACAGTCAGCCTTTCTCTTCTTTTCTGGGCCTGAAGTGGCCCATACATGGTTAAA